TGTGTGTGTGTGTGTGTGTGTGTGTGTGTGTGTGTGTGTGTGTGTGTATTGGGGGCTGGCATAGAGCCAGTACAGACTGTACCAGCCTGTGATAAGTGGGGTGGGACTCAGACAAAGAGAGGGAGGAGAGATGTCCAAGGTTAGACGTGGACGGCAAATATTGGCTCGCTTTGAAAGAGTTCCACAGAAACTGAAGTCGGTCCTTGTTTGCTCAGCCACTTTTCCACAAATAACACACACACACACACATACATACACACACACACACACACACTCGTGTGTTATAGTGTGTGTGTGTCGCCTTGATTTGACCGTTAAACGTGTTGACAGAAGTCTTATGATGCAGACTCCCCTGTAAGAAATGAGCTCATCAGCTTCAGATAGAAGAAGAATCACGGCGGTAAATAGATAAAAGTAAATAAAAATAGGATTAGGAACCTCCAAACCGTTGGCTTTATGATTATTCGGCCTCGTACTTGGCCCTCTGACGCCACTCCACCCGGGATGACGTTCAGTTTGAGGAGGGATTTATTGTTTGGTTAAAGGGAGCAGTTGCTATGCAACGCTAGCTGTTTGTGCTTTACTGCCCAGTCAGGACAGATATGGGGGGGGGGGGGGGGTTCAGTTCATCACCGGGCATCAAAGCAAAGTCTGATAAAGGAAATTAAAATCTGTGTTTCTATCAATTCAATTTTGTTTGCATTTTAAAAAAATATATTGTATGCTAACTTGTTATCTTGAAGATCCAAATAGCAGATTACTTCCCTTGTGGTCAGGGTTTATTTTATTTAACCAGTCTAAAATTGTGTGCATATATATATATATGGAAGATTAAAATAACAGATTATTTGCCTTGTAGTCAAGGTTTACACACCTCAGACAGTTCAGTCCATCACCGGGCATCAAAGCAGCCTGATAGAGGAAATTAAAATCTGTGTTTCTATGAACTTGTAACGTTTCTTGACAGTTCAATTTTGTTTGCATTGTTTTTGAAAATATATTTTATGCTAACTTATCTGGAATATTCAAATAATCTATATATATTATCTGGAAGATTCAAATAACAGATTATTTCCCCTGTAGTCAGTGTTTATTTAATTTGACCAATCTAACATTGTGTGCATACAGTATATATTTATATTAT